CAACCACAACCGCCATACTCTTCGTCTGTGGCTCTCCTTGCTGCCAACTCCCCCCCTACTCCAGCAGCTATAAATAGCATGCACCACAAGCTCTCCAAGTATGGCATGACAACCCGGCACTCTATCTCCAAGAGTACATGCATTACTTTCAAAAACCTATTCATCAAAGCCACATCACATCTCGATCCCTCCTCCTCCTCCTCCTCCTCCTCCTCCTCCTCGGCCTTGTACACACCCCGAGATCCACGTGGCCGTGATTTTGGCAAACCCACAGCTTCCGTCCCGATCATCAGCTGACCACGTGGCAAACCCACGGCTTCCACCCTCATCACAGAGGCACAGAACCGCGACAGAAATCTCAAATGCAGCCCATCTGCTGCATCATCCGTCGGGACGTATGCTTTGACCTTCAGCGTCGTGCCGAGCAGGTCGTGCGCAGCCTCCAAGCATTCCGCCGCTGCTTCTACATGTGTGGGACCCGTAAGCGTCGCACAACTTGTTAGCCGCGACAGCAGAGGGGAGCAGAGCTCCGCAAAGAACTCAAATACCGCTGCGTGCCGCCCTCGCCGTCGTTGTTGATTGCCTCCCCCCTTGACGTTGACATTGGCTCCTAAGGCGATTCTCTTCTCCTCCTCCTCGCCTTGACCCTCCAACTCCCCCTCCTCCCTCGCTTCGACGTCACCCAATCGCTTGATATCGTCCTCTTCAGGCTGCCCAGGAGTAGCAGACAGAGGCGGAGATAACAGCGCACTCATCATGCCCTTCCTCCTGATTCTCTCTTGCGTGGAGAGTGCAGCATCGTACAGCTCCATCAGCCATCCAAGGGAGGAGAGCACACCACCATGGCCTACTCGGACAGCTTCGCTAATCTTCGCCCAGAATTTCGAGTTGTAGATCTCCACATCCCGCGCGCCCCCCACACTACGTCCTCCTTGCAGCCCCCCCCTCCTTCTCTTCTTCAGCTCTTTATCGTCGGGAAGAAACTCCGGCTCAAGATCGCCAGCCTCTGCTTGCCTTTTCTTCGTCTCTCTCCCCCCCTCCTCCTCATCCTCCTCCTCCTCCTCCTCCTCCTCTTCCGCTTCGTCTCTCTCTTTTTCTCGTCTACTGCTACTAATCTTTTCGTGCCCTACCTTAGTCAATACCTGACAGGAAGTAGAGTAGCCTTCAAGATGCGTCTCATGGAACAGCGCCCGTCTGATAATCTCCTCGATAGCAGTCTTCACTCGTCCATCAACTTCCTCCTCTCCATCTCCGTCCTCCTCCTCACCACTCCCACCACTTGATTGATCCCGATCGCGATCCCTATCTGCCCGATGCCTGTCTCTAATTGCCCCATCCGTTCCCCTATCTACCCGATCTCGATCCCTATCTGCCGGATCCCGACCCCTAACTGGCCGATCCCGATCTCGATCTGATTCGAGGTGATGGCGGTGCATATTCCCTCCTCTTCCTCCTCCTCCTCCTCCTCCTCCTCCTCCTCCTCCTCCTGTTTCGTCGCCGCCGCCGCCAGAAGTTCGTGCCGCCCTCAGGCTGAGCAATCCGAGCATGAGTCTGTCCACGAAATAGACGAAGACTTTCCGCTGATTGCCTGACGTGCGCACGTGTTCCGCGAAGCCCTCTAGTACGTACAGCTCTACTGTCCTCCAGTCCTTCCCATTTTGCCGCCGCCTTCTGCTCCTACCACCTCCCTCCTCTCTCCCCCTTCCGCTGCCGCTGCCCATACCTTCCAGTCCCCCTATCATTCCCGCCCGACCGAGCAGCGTCTCCACCATCGCCCCCCAGTGTTCCAAGCTCGGACGAAATCGGCGGGCGAACTTCCCCACAAGGAGCGCTAGCACGCGCGCCACGTAAGCGTCCAGATCCGACGAATCTGCTTCAGCCACGTCAGCATCGCTGACGGCGGCGGCGACGGCCTGCAGCAAATTGGCGCTCACCAGCGTGCTTGGCGGCAAGAACGGCGACTCCAGAGTCCACGTAAGCACGGCCCAGTACCTCGAGTCCCGGCAGGCTAACAGATCCCCCTCTGCTTGTGCTTCCTTCGGTCCCGATCCCATCAGATGCCTGTTTCTCCCGCCCGCTGACTGGCCAGACCGAGAAGGGGGAGGGGGCGCAGACGAAGAGGCGGGAACAAGACCCCTTCTTCCCACCCCCACCCGATCTCCCGCTTGTCCCTTCCTCGCCTCCGCCGCCTTTTGACTTCTTCCCCGTTGCGCGCCAAACGCGGACTTAACCAAACACCCAACAACCCATTCGTGCAAGAAGCGCACTAGCTGCGCCTGCCCGGTATTGCCAAGAACCGCCGCCGCCGCCGCCGCCACCGCCGCCGCTGCTGAAGCCCCTTCGTCGAGTTCTTTGCGCCCATGCTTCACCATTTCCCCCCCCCCCCCCCCGCCCCTCTCGTACTCCTTCTCCTCCCCCATCTCTCCCACCATCCCCCAATTGTCACCATCACTCGTCTCCCTCTCCCTCCCGCCACCTCCTCCTTGCTTTCGAGCAAGATCATAAGCTGCTGTGATCTTCAGCTCGGCGGGCACGGACGAGGAATGCAGGGTGGTGAGGAGCTGTAATGGGGCCGAGGTCTGCCGGTCCTCCGGTCGCTTTTGCATTTGCTGCTGCCGCTGCTGCTGGAGAAGATCATGATCAGGGGAATGGCCGCCGCCCCCGCCGCCGCCATCGCCGGAAGCGCAGGCAACGGGGGAACACTTGGCGCCCTGTCGCTGCTCCACTCGTCGGCAATCCATGACGCTAGGCATACAAGGCGAACTAGCCAACGCTGTCCCCGATCCGACACGCGCCACGTGGCCAACGGGATCCCGACCGGTACGAGTCCCCGCGATCCCCGACGGTCTACAGACCCCGACTGGTCCCTCGACCTGTCCGCAGCTTCCCCGCCGCCCAACCCGCTATCCCTTCCCGCCGACCGGTCGGGATGCCGACGTCAAGCTGTCGCCGATCCGACACACGCCACGTGGCTACCGGTACCTCGGCCGGTAAGAATCTCTGTGATCCCCGGTGGCGGCAGACAGATCCCTCTACTTGACCCTCGACCTGTCCGCAACTTTCCCGCCAACCAACCCCACGATCCGCTCGCATCGCCAGTGCCAATTCGCCCCCAGGCTCTCCCCGATCTGCCACGCGCCACGTGGCTACCGGTAAGGGCCAGGCGCCATATAGACCCCTACTTGTCTGTCTCTCGACCTGTCCGCAGATTTGCAGCCACCCAACCCGCGCTCCTCTCCCATCGCTCGTCTCACTCCACCGCCAGGCATGCACCTCTGCCCTCCTCCAGACGTCCGATCACTCCACGTCAGCTGCACACCTTTAACCACATCCTACTGGACCGCGGCGGCGCCGAATCCTGGGCGCCAGATCTGCCAGATACGGTGCCCATCGCGGGTCGCGCTCCGCCGCAAATGAACCGATCGCGATCCCCTAGACGTCCGATTATTCCACGTCAGCCACGGACGTCATATCATCATAAGAACCACATTAATTTGTTTACATCTCTTTTTTTTTTCCCCCTTTTTTCGGGACGTGCGTTGATCGCTTTTGGCCGTCAGATATGCGGCCACCGGCGGACGGCAGCTTCCAACTAGTAATTTATTCAGTTAGTTATTGATTTATTTATTTGATTGATTGATATTTGTTCATTCATGTATTTGTTTATTCATTCGATGGGGCGCTCAACTGCTCAACGGATCATCCCCGAGCAGCTATGGCTGAGCCGTCATCTTCGTCACAGGCCAAACGGCCTACCGATGTGAAAAATGGACATTCCGCTACTCGGCCCGCCCCGCACAGGTAAAGGGCCAGGCTGTGTGAAAAACCCTAGGCTACAGCACAAGCGCGCCAACCTGCTAAAACGCAGGCCTGGGTTGAGATCTCCCGAGCTTTACAAAAAGTGAGGCACTTCGGGGCCTAAAATTAAGTCCCACCCCTCCGTTCCCTGCCCCAAAGTTTGGACCTGGGAACAGGTAGCTATGTACATATATATATAAAGCAATATCAATATATTCACTATATATTTATTTATATATATATTTATTTATTTATATATCTATTTATGTATATTCTATTTATTGTATTTATTTATCTTGAATATATCTTTATTCAATATTTTGTATTCCAGAGAGACAATTCATTAATCATACATATGAATGTACGAATGATTTTATTTATTTGTTATTTATTATTTAGATGTACAAGACAATTGAAAWAGAGGATTTTGTAAWTTACAAAATCCTCTCTAAATTAAAAAAGAATCCATTAAAAGAAAGAACAGTCATTTTTTTATAATATGAATATATAATATTAATGGTTAATGAATATTCAAATACAACTATGAAAGACATGGACTTGATCAATATGATCAAGTCCATGTCTTTCATAGAGCTGGATCCGGACCGAGCTGGATTCGAACCAGCGTAGGCAATTACCAACGGATTTACAGTCCGTTCCCTTTAGCCACTCGGGTATCKACCCTTTCTTTGCTTTTTTATTGAATCAAACATTTAAATAATATCGTATCGAGTAAAATGTCTATATTCAAACTTATGTATTGCTTTTCTTTTTCTTTTTTGAATTTTGAAGGCCCAGCCAATTCAAATACCTGTCGAATCTGGACAGGACGGCCTTTCAGGCATTTTTCATCCGGTAGCAGCCACATCCGTGCTCAAGCCTCCAACGAGGGCACATGGGGGAGCTGCACGCACCAGCAGGTGCGATACCTGCTACAGCAGGGCACATGGGGGAGCTGCACCCACCAGCAGGTGCGATACCTGCTACAGCAGGTGAGCGATACCAGCCAGGGGTCAGCCGGTAGCATCAGGACCGAGCTTGGATGGGCCAGTCGCTGTGCCTCCCCCGCTTGAAAAAAACAACATGCGGCTGTTAACACGGGGGTCGCCCGAACAAACGCCCGAACAAACGCCCAAACAAACGCCCGAACAAACGCCCGGTCGCAGTTCGAGGACATGGTAGAGAATGGAAACCAAAAAGAAGAGAAAAAAAACGAAACAGAAGGGAAATATTATTCTCTATATCTACTAGCTAAGCGTGCGGGCGGTGCGAAACGGAACACGCACAGATAGACAGAGAAAGGGAGAGAGGAGGGAGAGAGATAGAGAGACATAAATAGAGAGAGACAAAGGAGAAAGAAAAGAAGAATGTGATTGGAGTGGCTTGGTCGGAAGGTGCCTGAAGTGGCTCGATCGGTAGGTGCTTGGAGTGGCTCG